CTCAAGATTGAGGCTGGGGGGGAGGGGTTAATTTCCCATGTCAATCTGTTAGCATTGCAGACTACCATTCCAGCAGCATCAACCTAACGCATATTATGACAGGAATTCGATGCGTTTTAACTAACCGATTGGCGTCATTTGCAGCATTGACACGTGGCGAGGAGACAAGTGGTGGGTTTGACAAGGGTGAGAAGACGGATGGAGGTGAAAGTGGAAGCGATTCGAGTTACATGTCAAGGCGGGACTTCGGCAAAGCCATGCTCCCATACTCCTCCATGTATATTTTCTCACCAACCAATCCGTAAGTTTCCCCTTTCAAAAGCACTCACTTTTGAGCACACATTTCCCCTCCTTTAAGCAAAATTTGCCATGTGCATTTAAAATTTCCTTAGCATTTTAAATTTTGGGATCTTTAATTTTGATCTACCCTTTAAGCAAGCATTAATAGAAGGCTTAAGTGAGGCATTAATTAATAGTTTCATAAATTCCAAAGTTAGGTAGAAAGTATTAAAAATTAGCGTTGAGAACAGAGAAGTAAACAGAAAATATCTCTTGGCAGACACTCACCCACCTTGCTTCCTTGCCTTCTAATAAAGATTCGATAAATCGATTAAAAAATTGAAACTGAGACTTGACTTTTCGCAACGATTATGCCAAGTTATTTAGAAACGCCAATTAGTGACACTTTTTGGCCTTCAAGTTTCCTTGATTATTTGTCCAATGAATCATTTATTTTGAATGTTTGAATTTCAAATTAAATTTGAATATTGAAGCTTACAGCGAATTGCTACACTGGTAAGTCCTGACTGAAGCTCAGTAGTCACTAGAGCAAGATGCCCTGATTCGGAATGGCTGTTGCCAGTAGCAACCCTACCTCAGCGGTATAGAGGAAACAGACTTATGGCAAAGAGCACATTTATTTGGACTGTGTGTGTGAATTGGGTTGACATGGAGCTTAATCATTAAATACTGTTTGGGTATGATATCACTGTAATGACTAGTGGTTAATGATTGATCAAGAGGTCTTCGTAATTGTGACCTTATTTACTCCCTAACGCGATCAGCTTTTCTATCGCATGTACCAGAATATTCGTTACGCCATGTTAATGCTGTGCATCCCACAAGCTATGCCAAATCGTTATAAGTTAATACCCGCGTCATTTGAAACACGCTAATACTTTCATTTTTATAGCATAATCCTAACCTTGGAAAATTCTCAAATTATTTGCAATTTCATTATTATGAGAGTGTACTGATGTTGCTCTGATTAATGTACCTGTCTGCAAAATCAAAGATCACATTTGTTTCCCACCGGCGAGCGCACTTTCCCTCACCCCCAGAGGAATGTTGCTTCCTCTCCTTTAGAGAACTAATCAACTGAGTATTTTTCGCATTAATAGGCTTGGGAAATATAATCACTGTTATGCGCAGTTATCTTATCAATAGTTTTTTTGGTAGAATGTAAATATATTGAATGAAGGGAGAATCATTCAGTAAGTGGATATAACTTCAGTTGAGTTTTTAAATCCTTCCCTCCCTCTTTTACTTGATAGGACTTGTTCAGTGTGTCATTGAATTAAAAGTCTAAATTTGGGTATTTGTGAAACTTAGCTCCACTAATGTGCTTCATAATTAGGTCTCCTCTACGGATTCCACCTTTACAGGTGCTTCGAGACTGATGATTGACGATAAAGCCACCAGTGATTAGCTATTCCATATCTGATAAAGCCTTGTTCGTGTGTTACGTTATTCAAAACTGCAGTAGATCACAATTATGACATCACTAACGTGAAACAGTTCAAGTTTAGGAGATTTGCAAATCTCCACATTACCGAAACAATTCACATCAGCTTACCATATACCGATAAATTTGTTATTGATTTTTTTTCCGTAAATACGTCATCATAACGAATAGGTTCAACCACTTTTCATAACAAATTGTATGCATTAGTCTATTTTATTACAAAACTCACTGGAAGTATAAGTTTGCAAAAAAATCATGCTAAATTTTGTGATGGTGCTACTTGTGAGCAGACGTGGAAAACGAAAGATCAAGTGGAACTCATTTCATTTGAACCACTGAATCATCAGATTGACGGCTTTTCTCGACTTACAGGCTCTTCATGTTAAATTTTTTCATTTTACCACCTTGCACACTTCATGCGACAAACGGGGCGAAATATTTTGATCCCATTTCAAAAGTGTTTCACCTCCCTCCACCCCACCCCCAATACTCCATAAATAAAGTGGTAATTCATCTTTGGTTTTGCAGTGATTGATCTACTGGCGTATTTTCATTACGCTAATAATTCCACTTTTGCGCTCATCAATCAATTAATGTTGTATTTGGAACTAGTTTTCTCTGTAGGATACCCTAATCGACTTCTGGTCTCCCCTGTAAATTAAACTGAATGCAGATACAATCTCCCAATGCCTCAATACAAAGTGACCTAAGACATCATGTCAAAAAACCACAAAAATGAGCTTTCATATATCAATAGGTCAATTTATACTAACCGCCTTTTGCAACCGTATTGCTATTTATTTATATCAAATGGCAGGCTTTATGGTATTTATCATTAGCCCTTTAGTTGACTTCAGGCTTCACAGAGGAGAGGAGGAACATCAAAGTGAAAAAAAGTCGAAAGAGGGGGAGGGGGGGGAACAGAAGAGTGTTTCAAAGATGTAGGGGACAAACACAAAGGTAGAACAAAGGTGAGGTGAATACTGTGGAAATAGGCGAATATGGCATAGAGTGAGGTGATGGTAGTTTGAAGTGAGAAGTCAACAGCCGGTTTATAGACTTTTTTGCCGTATGAGCATACGTTGCCCAGGGTGCACCACGTGGAGGTAAGTCTATCGCGCACCCCCTATTTGGGCAAATAAAGGGTAATAAAATGAAGAGGGAAGTAAAAGGCGAAAAATAAAGAACCTCTTGCATGTAAGAAGATGAATATGTATATGTATTTTTTGAGGGGAGGGGTGGGGGGCACATTTTATCTTTGGAGTAACAGTATGTTGCTCACTGAGGCAAAGAATTAAGTTCTTTCATTGGAATTCGAAATTTGCCTTATTTCTACTAAGCACCTGGTTAGGATCTGCTCAAATCTATCAAAAAAAAAAATCCTGTGTGCAGATTTAGAAGCACTCATTTTTTGTAAGTGGAAGTTAAGCGCCAGATTTCGGTGATATTACAGTGTCATCTCACCCGGAAATTCAACATTCGTCTTTGACATTTTGGGGCAAGCTTTCTCCGAGAGACTTTTCTCCCAGAATTTTGGCATTCCTTCTTCTCCTGCTGTACCATTCTAGTGTCATTCCACAAGCCTTCAATCTAGTATCATCCACTTTACAACAAACAGCAATAGACAAACCGTCTATGAGCATGCCCAAGTGAGATTTGACACTCACCCTTTTCGCATGACTCGTTCATAATGACTGAAATTTTGCCTTCACTCAACTTTTACTAACAAACTTTGCATCGCGTTTTTTTCTATTTTCCTTGTAGTATTCGGAAGTTCTGCCACTTTGTGGTAAATCTGCGATATTTTGACCTCTTCATTATGATCGTGATCGCCTCAAGCAGCATCTCTCTCGCAGCAGAAGATCCGGTTGATGAAAAGAACCCCAGAAATATCATCCTGGAATACTTTGACCATGCTTTCACCTGCGTATTTACCATGGAGATGATTCTCAAGGTATCGGATATTTTTATTTATTGATAATATTTGGAATAAAAATAATGATAATAATAATAGATGCTAGTTAACAGAGGACTGACATTAGTAGAAGTGGACCTGTCATATAGAAAGAACGCGCTTTGACTTAACCTCTATTTAAACAACAGGCAACGAAAAATTTAGTATTTAAATGATCAGTCAGATGTCGGAAAACCGATGTCCATCGATGCACATTCAATGATTTGCAAACGCAGCTGTCATTCTTGTTAACAGGAGAAGTCAGAGAAAGTGGGTGAGGCGGGTGGTGGTGGGTGGGTGGAGGGGGGGGGGGGGTTTGAGGGGAATTAACTTCTTGAGGTACTGATGGGTGTATCCAGCAACGTACTGCATTTTATTCACACCTTTATAAATAACAATAGACGTAAAAAATATACTGCGTGGTGAACTATTTATATTTTGCGTTAAATACTCCCGTTGCGCTATTTGCAGCTAATCGACTTGGGCGTGCTCTTCCACCCCCACTCCTATTTCCGTGACCCCTGGAATGTTCTGGACGCAGTTGTCGTTCTAGGTGCTTTGGTAGCATTTTTCAAGTGAGATTTTTTTGTTCGTGATCACAAAATCAATATTAATTTGAGTCCTTTTGATGCATTTATTGCCTAACTAAATGTTTCAGTCGGCAGGCAGACGGTGGAACTGGGGTTGGGCGAAAAGCAGCGAGGTAATTATCTGTGGCATGAAACTCCAGGAAGCCAACTAATCCCCTTTTTTTCATCTGATTTCAAATTCTACCCTTTTTTAGCAAAAACTTGGGGACCATCAAGTCCTTGCGAGTACTGCGGGTTTTGAGACCTCTAAAAACGATTCGTCGAGTTCCAAAATTGAAAGTATGTTGTGCAGAGTTTTAATATTTATTGAAGTCTAATTGGTTGTGCGTTCAGACACTTCCATTTCATTCATTTAGGCAGTTTTTGATTGTGTCGTGAGCTCTTTAAAGAATGTTTTCAACATCCTCATTGTCTACATTCTCTTCCAATTCATGTTCGGAGTGGTGGCCGTCCAACTATTTCAGGGAAAGTTCTTCGCTTGTAGCGATCTCTCCAAGGAAACCCCTGAAGAATGTCAGTGAGTTTCATTTTTCCACTTTCTTCGCCTAGAAACATTATTCCTTGGAATTCACTTAGCTTTTGCGATTCTCTGTTGCATTAGAACAGAACTAATGTGCAGGTACGAGTTAGTGCCTGCTGGTGTTATAGGTGGTACTCCTTCTAGTGTCACTCAAATTGGAGAATCAGTGCATAACTGCTGTCCGTCCTCCTCCCACCCCTCCCCCGCCCCCACCCCCAATATCATACATTTGACTTTAACTGAGAAAATGTGTCGGTGGTCTTTGCTTGTTTCCTGAACTGACATGTCACCTCCAGTACTGTTCTATAGATAATGGTTCAGTGTTCAAGACTTCTGAGTATAATTGTTTACTTAGGATATCTTTAAAATTTAATTAATTTATTTTTTTCAAATGGAAGACGTTTTGTTAGTTATCATTAGCCCTTTAGCTGATAATGGCAGGCATCTTGAAGGTTATCATTAGCCCTTTAGCTGATTTCAGGCTTCACAGAGGGGAGGAGGAACATCAAAGTGAAAACAATTCAGAAGATTTGGGGGGGGGGGAGAAGAGCGATTCACAGATGTCGAGGAGACAGACAGACAGACAGACACATGGGTAAAGAAAAATTAGGATGAGTCCTGTGGAAGTGGTGGCATATGAAATACAGTGGGATCAAGGAAATTTAAAGCCAGAAATCAAATGCCAGTTTATTGACTTTTTGGCGTTTGATATGCGTTGCCCAGAGCGTACCACGTGGAGGTAAGTCTATTGCACACCCCATGTCTTTGTGAACCATTAATCACTTGCGTTGCCCACACACACAGGCCAACACCAATTTGCTGGCAAAATCCTCAAGGCCCTATTCAAGGCCTGTTTTAATGACTGAATAAATGTAAAGGCACGCTTTCTTTCCATTGTTCTGAACTCCATTTCAGTCTTTGTATATCAATGAAGGAGCATCGCAATATATAATTTTTTTAATTATTTTATTTTTATAGCTAATTTTGCGTTGACTATTAATCATTATATCATCATTCAGATTATAAAATTTCGTCATTTTTAAGGTTTTCTAGTCATGCCATGGTCGCAATTAACTTTGTTTTGAATTTACCGTCACATTAGTAGTTTAAACAGGCGATAATTAAAACTTTCCAATGAATTTGCTGGG